GTGATGGGCACCATGAAGCCCAAGCTCGGTTTGCAGCCCAAGCCTTTCGGCGAGGCCTGCTATGCATTCTGGCAGGGAGGCGACTTCAAGAACAATGAGCCTTCCGAGGGCAACCAGGTGTTTTGCCAGATGAATGAGCGAATTCCTTAGGTGGTCAATGAGAATTTGCATTAACGAGACTGGCATCGGCAAGCTGTTCTGCACCAACATCGCAGCAGATCCCAACGAGATGATTGTCCGAGGCACATACATTTTGTCCCAGTTCAGACCCTTGTCGGAGACCTGTGCGTTCTTGGTGGATGGATGCGTGGCCCGCACCAACGTCCAAAAACAGCAGACTCAACTCGGCTACACCGCCTTTGCGCACACCAAAATCTCCCGAGTTATTGGTGCATCCGGCATCCACGCAAGCACCATGAGCTTCGGCAAGATGGAGGGCGACGCTTCCAACAAGAACACTGCTTTGATGCTGCAGGACGACGAGGCCGATGGCACATTCTACCAGCAGGAGTGGGAGAGCATAAAGCAGACAACTGCCATCATCTCTGGCGGGATGAACGCTCTTCATTTGCCTTCCTTCTTCGAGAACCTGGGCCACTCCAACGTGATCCTGACCGCTGGCGGTGGCTCCTTCGACCACAAGGACGGCGCCAAGCCGGGTGCCATCTCCTGCCGTCAGGGTGAGGAGGCTTGGAAGGCCTGGAAGGCTGGGCAGTACAGTAACATCAGCCTGAGCGATGCCCTGATCGAGTTCGCCAAGACCCACGACGAGATCAAGGGTGCCTTCCTGACCTTCCAGAAGGATGCAGACCAGATTGCAGACCAGGATGGAAGGAGAAGCTTGGATACACTGCCGAGTCCTCTGTGCAGGCCAAGACCTCTGAGGCAGCCTTTGTCAATTAGACCGACTTGTCGCTGGATGAGGCCACCCTCACGAAGCGACCCAGCTGCAAGCTAAGCACATCCCAAGCTGGCAGCAGTAAGACATGAAGTGACTAAGTGTTTGTATTGATATGTATGAAATTAGGTTTTGAAAAACAGTTTTGTGTTCTGCAGTTGCGATCAGGAATGGCAAGCACGTGGTGGCCTACATCATGAAGCCAAAGGCAGGCTACGACTTGGCAACGGCTGCCTGCTTC